AAGATTATAAATATGCTTACAATTCATTCAGCATTACAAGGTATCAATAAAAAAAATATTAGATTTTTTTTATTTATTTTAAGGTGTAGCTACACGTTACATGTACTTGCCATGTTAATAACAGTAAATTGTGCACAATTACAAATGTAAACCAAAATCTAACCCTAAACTTAGCCCTATAGTAAGTTCATGTAATTAATTAATTAATGTTATTCAGTGCTTTATGAAATTAGACTAACAATGCCACCAAAAAAATTCAATATTTTAATTTAATTTGGTTCTGATTTTAATAATTTTATTCTAATAATTAATATAATTTTTAATAAATAAATAAATATTTTTTAAATAAAAGGTCATTTAATTTAAATAAAATTATTGAATAACCAATATTTGTGTGTGATTATCTATTTTTATGCATTTTAGAGTCACAATAGTTTAGCAACTTGATACCCTACTCTAGGGTTTCCCAAACTAGGGTTCGTTAGGAAACTGCAGGAGGTTTGTAAGCTGATGAAAAGCTAATAATTACTTGAATCACAAAAAATGTGAAATTAAAATAAAGCATTTTAAAAGAAAATAATAAAACACTTACAAAAAAAAAGATTAAATATTTTATTTGTTTACATGCATATCATGTTATCTTTAACCAACATGAGAGAACCATGAGCATGCAAATGTGTGTTAAATTATCAGAATATTAACTTGTATCCCAGGGATACTTCAAGTAAATATTTTATATAAAAAAAAAAAAGTTTGTGAATCCTTGGCCTAACTTGAAATTAATTGTGAGTCAAGATCAATATCAGTCACTTATGAGGTTCTGTTTCCATTAGGACATTTACATTTTATCATTTAGCTTTTATCCAAAGCGACTTACAAATGAGGAGAACAATAGAAGCAATCAGACTAACTAGAGAGCAACAGTATGCAAGTGATGTGACTCAGTTAGTCTAGCACAGTACACATAGCAATGTGTGTGTTTTTTTTTAATGTTAAATAACTTAAAGCAAATAGTTAAGTGCTAGTATTAAATGGTCAGGTGCTGGTGAAAAAAAAAAAACTTTAGACGTTTTTTGAAAATGGCTAAATACTCAGCTGCTCAAATTGATATAGGCAGGTCGTTCCACCAGCTGGGAACAGTCCAGGAAAACATCTGTGAGAGTGATTTTGTGCCTCTTTGGGATGGCACCACAAGATGTTGTTCACTTGCAGAATGCAAACTTCTGGAGGGCGCATAAGTCTGAACTAGCGAGTTTAGGTATATTGGTGCAGTGCCAGTGGTTGTCTTGTAGGCAAACATCATTGAATTTGATGCAAGCAGCTATTGGCAGCCAGTGCAAACTAGGGATGCTCCGATCCGCCTTTTTTGCCTCCGATACCGATTCCAATACCTGGGGTTCGGTATTGGCCGATTCCGATCCGATACCAGTGAAGTTTTTTTCCCTCATTTAAATAAATGTAGAATTTATATATCTCTGTGTGTGGAACTGATAATCATTCTTTCACAATCTACTAGATACAGAATACTTCATTATAAAAAAAA